ATTTAATAGAAAAGAGTTTGAGAACTTTGGGGATATTTATGATATTCCTTTAAATAACTTCTTCTTTAATAATAGAATATGATATATCTTTAAATAAAGTGGAGAACATACGATTTAACGAGAAAATATTTTCTTTTAAGGAATTATATAATATATGTCATCTTTAATTAATTAGTATTTTCTAGACCAAATTCAAAAATGAAATATACCAAAAAAGTATTTTGGATACAAATAAAAAACGTAAATTCATAAGGTATTAAATCCTAAAAATTGAAAGGTAAGTTGGAGCAAAAAAGCTTAAGGACCAAACATAAAAGCATATTTCCAGGCATTAAATTTTGATTTTGATTTTTAACATACGTTTTATTTTTATTATTGAAAGTTGGTAAAAAAAAATGAAGCTTTACTCATAATTTGTATAAAGCAAATAGTGAAAATCAATATTGATGTTTGATAATATCGAAATTTTACATATTTATAAATTCAAAAAATATAAAACCATACTTTTTAATGTGAAAAAAAGTTTTTTCTTGAATAATATCATAATAAAGTATATTTAGTGCTGATTTAACTCAACGCAAATCCCATTAAATGTATTTCGTAATTCTTATGATCTAGACTATACAAACTTAATTCTATTTATTTATCTTACATTATTTAATTTAATGATTACTTTTTTCTAGTATCAAAACTCATAAGCACAAGAGGTGCAATGATAACAATTGTAGATATATAAAAGTGAATTACTAGCCAATCAAATGAAGTTGATATTGACCCAATGTTAAAACTAATTAATGAGACAAGAAATTAAACTATCTAAAAGCATTATTGTTCAATGAAAGTTAAATTAATTGTGTTTCATGAATGAATATGATGACATTTTTGCAAATTAAAGTTAACATAGATTAATGTGTGCAATTGAAGAGAGATCATAACAATATTATAGGGTTGTTTGGAACTTGAGAGGAGCATTAACTAATCTTGTGTGGTGTTTGTTGGAATTAATAATAATAGTAAGATTATAAAAAGTAACATTAATTTATCAAAAAGTATAGAGGAAAAAGGCAAGTAGCTTTTAAATAGCAGCCAAAAAGTCAAATAGGCCCCTAATCTTTCATCTCATCATCATCATGATATCTTCAGGGGTATAGATTTGCAACCAAGATTCATTATCATTGCTCTTGATTTTTTGTGCTTTTTTTTTCCATAATAAACAAACATATCATACTTATACTCTAGTTTTATGTACTACTTACATACTAACAATCCCTAATATATATATAGGTTTATGTACTACTTACATACTAACAATCCCTAT